GCTAGATTTCCCGCTATCCACCTCACAAACACAACTTTGGATCACTTGCTGTGAAAGGAAAGGTTGTTCTTTTAATGATGTTGCATATATATAGCTGGAGTCCAGGTGCTTCCTGCTTTCTGTTTCAGTTCTCCTATATTATAGAACATTTACTGTAGATGTTTGGGAGAAATAAAGCAGTGTAATAATGGAAAAAGTGCAAGCTGTACATAGCTAAATCTCATGTTTTTCATGGAGCTGCTAAAGCACAACCAGCGAAAGCAGCTCCCAGGCGAACTTGAAGTAATGGTGTAAAAAAAAAACCAAGTGCTTATTATGACTTGCTTAACATGGAATAAACAAGAGAAGAAAATACATCTGATGTCTGAACCCTAACTTTAAATCTTTTAGAAATTTTTCAGTGGTTCTGGAAGCTAAATATCTTCAGTGGGGGTATGTGTTAGTTCCATCTATGATGGTATGGATAAAACATCTTAATTCACTGAAACAATTACAGAAACTGTGATCTACATACGACAGCCAGGTTTAGCTGATGCAATAGGAATTTGTGTTGAATGTTTATATGTATGTGAACAAATAGGAAGCAACCATACGCTTTTTGAATGCTTTGTAGCTTTGTGACCACCAGCAGTGTCTTGTTTATCTAGATGGAGAGAATGTGGTTTTAAAAGTCTGGAATGGCAATGCCTACATTCATTTAAATGTGTTGTTCCAGGCTCTTTCACTAATAACAGCAAGAGTGTATTATTTTTTATGTAAACACGGATCATTTAATCTTCCTTTATCTGTGATTGTGAATGAGGTAATTTAGCTGCATTTCTTAGTTGAGGTTTTATTTGGTTTATTTATTCAGTACCTGGAAGCATCTTGCAAAAGCTTGAAGTATTAAACTATGTGGCGTTGCTTCAGAAAAGGCAGAAACATGATACATCGATTCCTTCCTGGTGTTTAAACTATGAGCAGTCTTGTTGACACACTAAGAAGGTGTAAGTATTAGGTCTAAAGGAACTTTTTAGCTGGATAACAACTGGCTTTCAAAGGTTTTGCATTTGTTTTTTTGCATTAAGTGTGTATGGGAGAAGCCTACAAGGTCAAGAGAAAATAAGAACAAGTCAAAGACAGATTTTTAAGACAAATAGTAACATCTGGTAAATGACTTAGTTCTACATTTGTCAAGCTCTTGTTTACTGCAGTGGATGTGAAATGTTTTTCTTGGCGGCATTACTGGCTTTAAGTCCATCAGTCTGGGAAAAAGATTCATAGAGATTTATAATATAATGTATAGTAACAAAACGATACGTGTGGTTGCATTTAGAACCTATATGCAATAGGAAATCAAACAGTGTTGAATGATCGGAAATAACTTCTTTTATAGTTTTTGAAACATTTTCAGTTTTTATATTGGTTTTTACTAGTATGCAAGCAATATATGTACATCATGTGTCCCTCTCTACATTGATTATCGTCTAAATCTCTCAGTGCTCTTTAAAAGCCCGTATTTTCTGTCAGGAAAACAATGGAGGTTTTTTTTTAAAAAAAAAAAAAAAAAAAAAAAAAAAAAAAAAAAAAAAAAAAAAAAAGCAAGGTAGTTAAACACTGCCAGTAATCTAGGCTGAGGATCTCACACAAATGAAGTTCTGTGTATCCCTGATGACAGAGAACCCCTAAAGTTGGAAAATCTGCTAAGAAAGGTAACAGAAGGAGGGCTGATCTGGTTTTTGTGAATTTCTGTGGTCAGCCTGAATTTCAGGCTTCCAGCTGATCCCAAACTGCTTCTGAGGGTATCTTCAGGGTGAGATGGTTATGCGGTCAGAGCTTGCTTTCTGTGGGAACAACTACCCATTTTCCTTCTGGGGAGGAAAATAACAGAAGAAAGACTGAGATGTTTGATAGCCTGGTTACAGCAAGTGAACAACAAGTTACCACTTTCTTCTCTTCCCGTCGTCCTTCCTTCCAGAACTAAAGTTATGCGGAAGTAAAAATAAATAAAACTGGGACAGCTGGGCAACTCAAAGAGCAGTTGGAACGGTTTATTCTGTTGTAGGAGCACTTCAGTGAGTTCATGGAATCATTTTATGTTTTATTCTCTGGTAATTAATGTCCTGTGGTATTTTGCCTTTGCCTTTGCTTGGACTTGGTTCAATTCTAAATAGTTTAACTGGAGCAAATACAGAGGTCGGAGTGCTATAGATTAGTCTCAAGTACACCACAGAAACTTCTTTGTAGCTTTTACTAGCTTTTTAGTGTTTTAGCGTGTTAACAACTAATTTCTGTAAGGCTAGGAAAATGAAAATTTCTTCATGCTTGCGGGAAACAGGAATAAGAGTTGATTGTCTTGTTCATTGCCTGCAGATAATTTCCTAGTGGGTTTTCCTTCCGATATACCAGGTTGTCAGCTTTGACTTGAACAAAATCTCACCTGATTTAAACTTTTTTGAAAGCAGTCCCCAAACATTTGCATTTATATTTATAATCAAGTCTGTTTACTTTCTGTGATAAAAGCAGGATAACCCACTTTGCCTGAAACTCAGCATGAATTGATCAGCTGTCCTTATAATATAGGACTGTTCAATTTTGCTATCATCTTTGATTAGTGTGCTCTTCATCACTACATGACTTCTCTATAGATTTGACCAGCCACATGGCAGCCTGTGCAGGGGCTAATTTCTTGCTCCTTGTAAGTCACGCCAAGGGGAGGCCTTAAGAGCGTATAAACATAATGACCCATAAAAGTCTGAGAGCAATTATTTCTAGCTAATAAAACATAATGAACAGCAGGGAGCAAGGCTTATTTATGGAACAAATGTGTACTAAGAAATCTACAATTAATTTACCTAATACTTCCTAAAATCTTGAATAGAAAATGAGTGAACAAAAAGCCCTGTGCTATTTAAAAATAAGAACAGCTTAAAAATCAGTTAGAAGGGAGGGAAACTCATTTATTTAAAAGAAGCAAGCTGACTACTTTGTACCATCTTTTTATACATTAAAAAATTGGAAAGGTACTATGTTAAAGGTGACTGTTATTAAAACTATTATGAAAATGGAAAAGAGATGTTTCAAGGTATTAACTTTTTAAAATAAATTAAACATTAATGAAGTTTTAATGCGTAGTCTAAGGCATATTATTTAGAGCCTGGATTCAGGCTAGAGCAGTGCCATCTCAGCCCCTGGGTAGCTCAAGGAAATTTTACCTTAAGTACAAAAGAACTCTCTGCATAGGAGCTGCCCAAAGCTGTGCCACTTAAGGGGATATAGAATATTAACCATTTGTGCAAGTGCTTGGTCCCTAAGTAGACTTTATATGGATTGTTGTTGGTGTTGCATTCTGGCTCTACATCTGGTATCAGTTGTAATCAAAGTAGGCTATGTAAGTTGTCAGCAAAAAAACTGAAGCCCAAGCTTGTATTACGAAGAGGAAAGCAATGCACATTTTGCCAGTAAAGTTATGTTTTTTCTACATTTTTCTGCCTGATTTATTTGGTGCATAGTATTTATTGATTTGATTGGAAGGTGTTAGATCTATTAGAGTGGGTCCAAAGGAGGGCCACAATAATGATCCAAGGGATGGAACACCTTCCCTGCGAGGACAGATTGAGAGAGCTGGGGCTGTTCAGCCTGGAAAAGAGAAGATTCTGGGGAGACCTTGGAGTGGCCTTTCTGTATCTAAGCAGGGACTGTAAGAAAGAAAGAAGGGTGTGCAGTCTTTTGCGGGGTCTATTGTGGTAGGACAAAGGGAGATGGTTTCAAGCTAGAAGAGGGGAGATTTAGGTTACAAGGAAAAAGTTTTTTACAGTGAGGGTAGGGAAGCACTGGAACAGGCTGCTCAGAGATGACGGATGCCCAGACCCGGGAAACACTGCAGGTCAGGCTGGACGGGGTTCTGAGCAGCCTTATCTTGCTGTAAATATTGTGGTTCATTCAGGGGGATTGGACTAGATCACCTTTAAAGGTCACTTCCAACTCAAATGATTCTGGACAAGGGAGATGATGCTTTCCCTCAACTGAGCACTGGTATGGATCCACCCAGATTGCTGTGTCCAGTCCTGAGCTCCCCAGTACAAAAGAGACATGGGCATTCCTACAGACAATCCAAAATAGGGGCAAGACGGCGAAGAGACTGGCACACCTATCCTATCTCCTATATCTACATCTCAGGGTAGAGCTTGGGAGAGTTGGGAATGGTCAGCCTGGAGAAGAGGAGGCTCAGGAGGTCTCTCATCAGTGTCTATAAATACTCAAAGGCTGATAAAAACAGATCTGGGCTCTTTTTGGCCCAGTGACAGAACAAGAAGCAATGCACACAAACTGGAACAGAAGAAGTTCCCTTTAAGCATCAGGAAACTTTTTCTTTTGGGTTTGTTTGAGTGCTGGCAGAGGTTGCCCCTCTGGGAAGGAGGTTGTGGGAACTCCATCCTTGGAGATATTCAAAAGCTGCCTGGACAAAGTCCTGAAAATCTGTCATGTTACCACTTGTATGCACTATACAAATTTAATTCATATTGATAAAGACTGAGCTCTGAAAACATTTGACAAAAACTTCAACCAATCAATTATAGTCTGAAATAAATACTGAAGAGGACTAGACTGTCTTAGCCAGCTATCAGACATATCTGGATCCACTGAAGCTTGTTCAAAAGTTCACTGCACGTAATTGTGATTCTGACATATGAAAAATATCTGCCTAGATTATTAAAGAAAATAAAGTTGTATATTTATTCTCTTTGCTTATGCAGTTCCTGGAGATAAATGCTGTGAAGTACGGCATAGTGCCTCTTGCATTTTAAATTAATTACAGAAGACATACCAGTATTTATGATATAGGAGTTGCATAGAAAAGAAAAGAGGGAAATCATTCCTTTAGGTCAAAAAAGCTGACCAACTAAAAGGTTGTGCGTGAGCAACTGAAATGGCGATATAATAATGGCAAAATATATTAATACCGATCGACATTTTCAGAAAATCAATTACTATTTTCTAAATCAAAACTCTTTTTCCAGGTACCGCAAATGAATGGACAAATTGTGTTTTCTACATAATTAGGTGAGTTTTCTGTTATGCTTTATCTTTGTGGATTCATCTCTGATAATTACAATATGGACCTGGTATGCTGGGAAAGAAAGTAATGTTTTGATGTACCTTGGTGGCCCACTACATTCTGCACCCTCCTGTGTTAGATGAAAGTTTGCTGATCTGATGACAGCGAATGCTATGTGTTTATACCGAGTTGTATCCTGTGACCTTCTGGAAATGATTGGACTGAATCCTCAGAAAACACAAATGATTACAGTTATGTTGAATTTGGTCTATGAGAGTACTCTTTTACTCGTGTTTATAACTATGAAGAGTTAACAGTTTCAATTTAGTTTATTTAGTTTAAACAGACCTTCCAGTAAAACTTTACTTCAACGCCTGTCTGTAGTAAGCTGCAAGGAAAATTCAGCCAATTTTTGTTCTGTCCCCTTTTCTTTTGAGACTGGCTTAATTCTGTACAGTGCATCAAAGAATGTATCTGAAAAACTAATAGCATGCATAGTCCAAAGGAGTTATCCATGTCGCGTCACTTTTTCCAGATAAATGTATTTAGGTATCTTAGCATTATCTAAGATTCAGAAAAGACAACGTCTTCTTTGAAAACAGTTGAATAAGAAATTACAGTGACTGTGAAATAGCCTTTGCACTCTCCAGCCATGATGACTGCAACTTTTGCAGCTCTTGGAAACAGAATTGGGGAGTGTTTCATTGATCTCTGCTTCATTTGCACAGGCATGTAGGGGTAGGACTGAGTGTTGTCTGTTAGTTCCTTCGTTGATAGCCATCAAAAAAGCAAATTGATGTTGCAACCCACTTTTCCTTTTCCTTTTTTGAAAGAAAAAAAAAGTTTGTTTAAAAGACTAAGACAAAGATCAAGAGTTCTGCAGACAGTAAGAATTAACAACCCTAGTGTAAGTAGCACATCCCATGCCAAACAATCTGCTTCCCAGCTGAGGTGATGAGTATGGAGACAAACTCTGAGAGTGAGTATGTCATGGGAATAGCAACTGTATGTTCTGACACCGGGAACAAGTGTTGGGAATGACTTCTTACAGGGAAAACAATAGACTAGAGATTCAGAAAAAGACCAGTGACAAAATGTCCACAGAAATGCAAGTTAACTGGTCTGACAAGTCTTGGATTTTAAAGACTTGTTGTATGTACATCTAGGCTCTAGTGGTACTGAATTTTTTTCTTACAGTCTTCTTGGCTTTCCTTTGTTCAGGTGAAAACAAAGATATCATCACATGAAATTCCCTTGACGTTTTCCTAATTATCTGTCTTTTAATCACGGTGAAGCATTCAGTCCTTTGGATATGATCCCCTATCACAGATGAGGATTAGCTAGGATGAGTGGAATTATTCTCTAAGTGCTAGCCAAGACTGAGATTCCTTTAAAAGGATGTATTGAGTTCTTTGTCTTAACTTTTTTTGTATGTGCTATAAACCTTTAAGGAAAATAACACTGTCTCTTCGGTAGCCATTTTAAGTTAATATTCAGTCAGTGTCAAATTCAATTTAGCCTTGTTAGGAGCAATGGGAGTTACATCCAGTTGCAGCATGCAGACAGACTCTAAGAATTTGTGAACAGTGGTAGATGGAATCACCACAGGGGGAGAGGTATTAAGGCCTGTTTTGGTGTGTAAAACTGCTTTAAGCTGTGTTTAAGCACTTCATGGTCCATGCCAGAAATAATTAAAAACTCTTTTATTTTTGACTCTACAGAAGAGTAGGACCAGATCAAAATCCCATACCTGAATCCTTAACTATGGAATCTGTTGTATCAGGCCTTATAACAAAACTGTATGGGTCAGGCCAATCTAAGCCCTTGAGTAAGAACAACTAGTGCTGCAGAATGTCTTTGCTAGCCAAGTAAAATATCTAGGAGTGAAATAACTCCCTACTTCCTCAGAGTAGTACGTAACTGTCAGGTTTGAGAGCACGGAGTTTATTTCTTTACAAGTTGCCTGATGTGAAACTGTTCAAGTTGTTACACTAAGCAGTCTGTTTTGCCTTTGATAGTCAGTCATCCTTTTGCTATGTTTTCTGCTTTCTGAGTAATTTAAGGGAAGAGAAAATTATTGTGAGCAGTTTATACATTACACTGAGTTCTCAGGGAAACTGCTTTCTCCTCCTGAAGCCTGTATGTTTTTCTGAGGTGTAGGATCTGACACTATGGGAGAAGATGAAATGGAGTGGGACTCTGTGTCCCAGTGACATTTCTTGTAATCTCTGCAGCAGAGTCCTTCTGTAGAGAACACAAATCGCTTTCCAACGCTTCCCAGTCAGCTGAAATTCTCTCTGACGGGAGACTTGTGAAGAGAAGGAAAAGCTGCATACTTGTCTGCAGATACCAAAACCCTTTTGCACTTAATATTTTCTTTCAAATAATGCAGTAGTTGCATTATTGTGAGGCATAGTATTTTGTGTCAGCATCACAGAAGATTCCAGTGGTGTCACCCACTGCTATCACAATCATTATCACTCAGGCACTTACCAGCTTCCCAGCCAAACTTAGCTTGCTTTTCAGGACCTGGGGAGGAGGCAGGGAGAGCAGAGCTGGTGTTTGACAGCCTGCACCTGGAAGTGTACATACACTCTTTAAGGCCTTATCACACAGTTATACCAGCCAAATACTTTCTTGTGTGTTGGGAAAAGGTGCAGTGACAGGAGCTGGCTGCCAGTATTTGGTGAGAGTGGATCAGGGAGAGAATCAGGTATTTGGTTGAAGCTGTGACGCTAAAAGATGCATACCCTAGAGTCTGATATTTAAGATGGCTGTGATGAAGAAATTATTGCCCTTTGTGATGCTGTTGTTTTATAAAGCCTAGATGGTAGAGTTTCTTATCATTAGAAAGATCTCTGGAAAGCATCATTTGAAGAGGGAATATTATAGGAGCATACCTGCAAAATTTCTGTTATTTTTCTCTTTATTTCTTGAAGAGAACTTTTAAAGACTCAGAGTAGCAATCAATGTGGTCTTTAAAAAAAAAAAAAAAAAAAAAAGAGTCCCCGGGTCTTTAATCTTTTTTTGTGCTCACTGGTGGCCAGGGCCTTTTGCTTTTGTCCAGCTTGACGTGGCCAAAAAACTGCCAATGTTACGAGCTTCACAAACAAAAGTAAGCTTTGCTATAGCTTCAGTGTCAGAAAGTAAACTCAGATATGCTTAAAATCTACTGAAAGTCAGGCAAAGTCTTTCTGGGGTTTTCAGTTCAATCACTACAGCCCTAGTCACTTTGGGAGCTTACAGAACAAGAACAGAGTAGAAGGAAGAGTCCTGCCTGCCTTTCATGTGGAAAAACCTGACTTCTTCATGTTTTTCAAGGCAACAGGACATGAAGTCGGGTTGTGTTGCCTAAGGCTGCTACATAGCGAAGGGATTTAAATGTAACCTCTGCATACAGAGAAAAGAAGTCCCTTAATTCATTCAATATTTTATTAGAAATCTCTTAATGCTGGTCTTATTCCTAAAGGTAAACATCTCAGAGGCTTTTTGAAAGGCTGTATTTCATTATTTAATAATCTGTTTTCTGTAACAGAACTCCCTAGGTCTGCGCTGGTTCCACAGGCTGGAAATATCAACAGTCCAAGAACTGTTAAATAATTAACCTGTTGGTGCCTGTAAGTGTTAGGGTTTGAATCACTCATATTTTATTATCACAAACTGCTGGGGAAAGGTGTGAAAAAGATGATTTACTAGTTCTCTTTCAGGACAAAATGACTTCTATATAATGGCACGGTTTGAAACTCTATGATGTTTTGTTTAGAAAGTAACATTTGTAGAAGAATATTTGAGAGTGACTCTGTATATACCCAGCAGAAGAGTGTTACATGTTCTGGACTCACTATAATCCCTTCCTCAATTCAGACGTCAAATGCAATTTTATAGAACTTTTGTCTAACAAACTTTCGTAAGAGTTCCTGAGCATTAACGTTGATTGGAAAATATCGAGCAGTTTTTGGCTGTGGAACAGCACAACTCTGTACTAAGTATGTATGTGTAAGTGCTAATATTTGTGTTTGCACACGCCTGTGTGCGCACATACACAAACAGAATTTGCATGTGTCCTGTTTTCCAAATGGGGAAAATGTCTCTGAAGGTAACTGAAAACCAAATATTTTGGCCCACTAATCTTGACATGACTGTTAAACACTAAGGAGGAAGTAGACAATTTTGAACATACAGGAGCAGGCATAGACTGCTCTTAAATTCCAAGCAGATGGAGGCAGGCCTGACTGCTCAGGGGGTTTCTCATCCACAGATGACGCATGTCATGATTTTTCTTCTTCACAGAGAGAAAATAGAATTGGTTCTATCACAGTACCATGTAACTTGGAGGAGAACAAAGTCATACAATCATGACTATTGTGCAAAATAACAGGAGTTCCAGAAAGAGTAAGAGGGCTTTTGTGAGCATTAATGACACGTCCTCCTAATTTAGCCCAGACTCAAAATAAGTACTGTAATTTAATACAAACCAGATTACTTTCTTTGTAGACAGTTTGAATTCTGTTGTTACATGCATTGAAATGGCAGGAAAATGTGCAAAAGCAACGTAAAGCCAGACAGGAAATACTAGACACTACTGAAGACTGTTCCTTATTCTGTTGTGTCTGTCTGACAGTAGGACAGTACTACCTTTCTGGATCCTTCAGCAAGCATCCTCAGTATTTATTAAGCTAAGATGTAGAAACAAGTGGCTAGAATTGATTTTTTTTTTTTTTCTCCCCATTGGATCCATTTGTTTACTTTGGCTTTTTGAAATATTTTGGGACTCTTGTGGTCTGTAATGGGAAATCTGTCTGCATTCCCCTCAGCTTGTTTTTTGCAGTGTTTACAAGCTTAGGCTGTATTGACATTGTTACTAGGGAGAAACTATCTTTCGGCAATGCAGAAGGCTTTAGCACTATTATATATACATGCGAAATTCAAACATACAAACAATACAGTAAAAGACAATTTTCAAAATCTTTGCTTTTTAACCAGTCACGAATCAAGAAATAGAACTAGAATTAGGCTCATCTCTGCCACTTCAGTTAGATCCATCTACATGTTGTGTTTTAATTATTAAGTAGTGCTAGTTTTGGCTACTAGCATGAAGATTTCAATAACTTAATGGGAAAAAATTACCTCTAGTTTCTATTAAAAAAATTGCAAAAAGCTTCTTTTCAGATAATCAAGTATTTTAAAATAATTTTCCTCACGGCTTAGATTGACTAGACTTACTTGCTGTTTTGATTTAAACATCTTGTTGACATATTGATGTGATTAGCTGTAGATGTTCATGGAGATATTCACAATGAGTCAATATCCTGTGAATTCAGCAGGCTGTGACTATTTTCTGCAATTGAGCAATGGTGAACAGCAAAATAAAATAAAGCTGTTAAGGAGAGCTGCAGGAGAGCTGCAAAGTAATCAAAAAGAGGCTCTTGCGATGAACACTCCTATTTTTTATTTTTTTTTTTTAGTATCTACAGTTCAATTATGAAGGATTATTTTTCTGAATTGCTAGGCGTAATTGAAAGTATGAGTTTTGAAGCTAAAGAACTCGCTTACGTGATATCTTCTTGGTTCTTTTCTGAAAAACAAAGACCTGCCTTGTGGTTTATTTTATAGTAGTTTAGTATTTTAACAAACTTCTGCTTTTCTATTTGTTTTTCTGAATGTGTTATAGCTTATTTAGTTGTACTTTTTCTATGCTGGAGGGAGAGAAATGAGACTTCTACAATGAAGCTTAAATCTCGAACTATCTTTCCTACACAAATAAAGAAAGAATCCTCTTCTATCATTTTTATTTTGCATCCCAAGGCTTTGCTTCTGGGTCTTGCTGTTTTTCATGGAAGAGACCTTTTTAGCTGTGCACTAGGTAGTGAGAAAATTACTGTAATCTATCTGCCCTCCCAGCTTCTTGCTGAAGTGGGCAGGCTTCCTTTTAACAGTTAGCAGTCTAAACATCAAAATCTCCTTTTTGTTAGCAAAAGCTTCTTATTGAAGACCACTCATTTGACTAACAAGATTCTCGGTGCTAAAATTTGCTGATTTGTCTTAGTAAGATAATTCAACATTGTAGCACCAGTAGAGGATAAAACCAACTACATGGCCTAGCAAGTAATTTCCAGTTCTGAAAGACCTGAGCTATGTATATGTATTCCATTTACTTTAATCTGAGAGAATTCAATACACCATGTTGTATTATATTGAAGTATTAGGGTGCAGGAATTTTTTTTCTTAAGTATTTCTAGTCTGATGTATTGACAGTATTTCCTTTAATTCTTGAGATGAACCAAAAGTGCATATTCTAAAACAGTAAGCAGACTAAGGACAGGATGAAAGCTTATGACATAGTGATTTCATTTGAGAGTACTGCTTCAATATTTTTCTCTTTAAATAAGACAAACATTTTCTGTTTGTTTTTTTTTATAATTGTTAAAGAGTTCTGTCCCCAGCAACCTAACTAAAATAAATCAAAGCAGTTACTTGCATGTGCTGTATTATAACCACAACAGATGACTTATTTTAATGGCATTTCGTCCTCTCTTTTGAGGAGAAATGGTACTGTGAGCAATGAAGGATCTTTTCAAATAGTAATAAGATAAATAATCAGTTCCAGGTAAGCAACTTCAATCCATCTGATGTTCAACAGAGAAAACATGCATACAGGTAGTTATCATAGGGTAGATAAGCTGTGGTAGCATATCAGATTTTCTGCCCTGTGCGCTTGCACTCTGTTGCGAATGTGATGCAACTTACCTTCCTTTTTGTCTTGATTCTGGGGATAAAAAGACATTAATAATGACTTTGTAAGAAGCTGCTGCCAGTTTTACATCAGTAGGTTTATTCAATATTGTTTGAATTAATCTCTGAAAAGCAGACGGAAGAAATAAAGAGTTCACCATGAATAAGTATTCTTATAATAATAAACGTGTGAATATGAATGATGTAATGCATCTTATTCTTTAGAATTAACATTTCCATTTGGAGTTAACAGGCAGTTAAATGTGAAATTTGAGGTAGAAATTAAACCAACATGCTGCTAGAATATTTTTCTCTGTTGCAACAACTCCCATTTTCTTCTTAAAAATCCAGTTTATAAATTATTTTAGATGTCGCAAAAGGCTTTGGACAAATAGCTGTTAAATCCCTGCATTAATCTTCATAATTTTCATGTTGTTAGCTTAGTGTCTCCCACAGAATTAATCTTAGCATCACTCTGCAGCTTGCTTTAGAGAGTATATTTGCATTAAAAAGACTTAAAAATCCATCCATTACACCTGAAATTTAACTGTATCTCTAAATAAGTGGGCAAATCAAATGAACTACTTGATGCTTCTTAAATTCAATATGTATTGATATTTATTTATTTTGTTCCCTGTTTTAAAACACTTCTGAATGAATTCATTAATTTATAATTAACCTATTACATATTCTTTAACTGTTCAATTATTTAATTTAAACTATTATCTATAATTTAACCTATATATTTCAATTAGCTAATTATCAATTAATATTAATTTTCCTCATTAATAAAATTAATCAGCTTTTGATCATTGGTTTTCTACATACTATGAATTTCCAGCAACCGCTGTGCATTTTCACTGCGCATTTTTTAATACACTGCACTTCATCAGTAACAGATCCAATGTTTCCTCCCATAATGATGTCCATAATCCCCACCTGGGAATTTTTATTGCTTATTCATAACAAAGCTGTTTTCAACTATAGTTTCAGCAATTTTGCTCTCACTAACATAAACACTGCAATATTTTCTTTCCTCTGAAACAGGAATGAATGTCATAGTTATAAGAAAGGTTTACCCCATAAGGTTTTGCTCTACATAAATTTTTCTTGGGAAAGGACACTGAGCTATGAAATACTTCCTTTTTTCTTTTCAGATATCTTTTTAAGCATGTTGCTTTTGCATATTTAGTAAGGAGCAGGGTTTGTATTGAGCTCAGTATTCCGAAGGCAGATTGTTGAAAGATTTGAAGAGATTTGAAGAGATTCTATTAAATTGTCCTTTAAAAAAATCTTTATGGAAAATTTGACCTTCACCAAATTCCGTTTTTAGATTTCAAATAGGGACAGAATGATTATTTCATCTATTTTCTAGTTCTTTCTAAAGATGTTTTGTGCCTTGGCCAAATCAATTCCTCCTTTCTATTCATTTTTTCCTCTTTGTCCAGGATGACAGCTAAATTGCTTGAATGTACTAGGAAGCATAAATTCGGAAGATCAGTGAGGAAAAATTATGGGTTGAGGTGAGTAGATAACATAAACAGGAAAGAAAAATGAAGAGAGTTTATCACAAGACTGTGCAAAGCATATTGGCACTGTTGCAGGCATTGAGGATGTAGTCAGAAACTACTGGACAGTAAAGGGATACCAGTAGCCTACATTTTGTTCACAGTTCTGCTGACTCCCAGCTCTTTGAGGAGAGACTGCTGGCGAGACTCTCTTAAGTGGGTTTACACACAGTGCCTCTGTTGGAATGGCTCAGGCAGAACGTACAGACTGTCTGAAACTTTTGACCATCTTACTGTGCCTAATCTCATGATTTAAAACTCAATTAACATTAGTACTTGACCCGAGTGTTTAAGTTTAATTAGCACTTTCTCCTCTAAATATTATAGAGCTGTGAGGAGAGCAACCACTTCAGGCCAACACTCCGCTTCAGGTAAAGCAGTAACATATAGGTGGTAAGGAAGCAGCGAAAGTATATTGTGTCTTAAACAAGGCACACAACTTGAAACTGAGTGCAAGTTTTTTTGAAACTTCCGTTTACACTTTTTGGAGACTATCCTTATTAGGATTAGAATTCTTAATAGGATTATCATGCTAGAAATGTGGCAGTCGACGTTTTTTTTTAATTGTTGGGTATTTTTAGTTCTGTTGACCTACACCATGGTAAACAGCAAGTGCTGTCTACATCTCTGTGGCACATCTACTTCTGTTTGGCTGATGCTTTTGCATATTTTTTGAAAAGAAACAAAATTATGTCTGCAACATTCCCCCTTGCACTAATTTGAATTCATCAAGCAGGTTACAGGTTATGTTTTCATTATTTTGGGGGGTGAGAAGACGCTCAAAAACCAACTGGCTTTTCTATTGTGTGAGGCACAGGGTTTCTGCAAATCCACATTACCGTAGGGAACATCTGAAGAATTTACCCATTCCTAGAAGGTTCGTTTCTGGATCAGACCAATGGTAGACAGGTAACAGGAACACAAATTACTTCCATTATACAATTTTAATAAATTCGATCCAAATACAACTGTTCCTGCAGCCTGTCCAGCAGAAAAAAAGAAATCCCAAGCCAAATGCTGAACAGAAATGCCAGTAGCTGTGATTAATTATAATTCATTTCAGATAAGAAACAAATATATGACCTAAAGGAAAATAAAGCTTCAGACTATATCATTAGGAGAAAAAAATAATCCCATTTGTATTATTAACTATAGACTGAGCAGGAAATTCCCAGATGTAATAAATGAAGTTACAAGCCTGCAGTTGTTCAAAAAAAGTTAGAATGGAATGATGTACTAAGTCTTGCGAAATATATCCACTAAAAGACTATTTCTGTGATTCTAAATGTTTATCTAGAGAAAACTCAGAAAGTAGATTTTATTTTTTCACACACACAGAAAAGTGCTAAGAACTGCCTTATCAATAGGAAAGTCAATTCACTGTTATGGTAACTCTCTTGCTCACAGTAGATTGCCAAACAAATTGCTGCTTTCCTATTGTTGAAGAATGTCTTCAGTTTGAGAGAAGTTAATTTGTGTTTCCAGGCTGAACTCCATGTTCAAAATGATTTGAATAGTTCTGCCCTTTCCTGTGTCTTATTTTCTCACTTCTATTCCTCTACTTTTATAATACAAACCCTCTTTTTGCTTGCTTTGCTTTTACCCTTCAAGTCTACATGAAATGATAATAAATATTCCCTTCTTGTCTGCTCTATGGGAGACCCATCTCTACGAGATGAAAATAAAACATCCTTCCTCAGTACCAAAATATATATTTATATATATATATATATATATATATATATATATATATATTTTTTTTTTTTTTCTTCCCTGCTCAAGCCAAATGCTTTCTAAAGACTTAAGGCTCATTGTTTTAGCACCTGCAGTGCCATAAAAGGATTCATGTCTGCTGTTATTCTACTAACCACAGACTGTGGGATGTAAAATAGTAATAGATCCGTGAATGTCAGAGGTAACGATGCTATAAAAGTGAATTTGGTCATCTTTTCTCTATTCCTAATCTCAGAAGATCCTTTCCTTAAATTTTGTTGCCACTTCCTCTCTCCTTTTCCTCTCCTATTTATTTATTTAGTCACTTACTTATGAAATATAACATGAAATCATCTTATCCAACTGGTTTCTGGTAAAATTAAAATTATTTGGTAGATTTAAAATAGTTCTGCCATCTGCGAGCAGTGAGATCTATATCTATTGATGTGTACCATTTAAAACAGTAACAGAAACTACAGAGCTTAGTGTTGTGGTATCTGAACACATACGTGGTATCTCCCATGAATGTAGATTCTAATTTGGTATTTTTTGTTTTTTTACTGTAAATTTTTCATACAAAAGAATAAAGTTTTCTAAAATTCAGAGAAAATAGGCAGTAGTGAACATACATTATTTGCTATTCTGAATGTTTTTGTTGTGTTTTCCATAACTGATGACTAAGAAAAGTTAAAGTGCTGAGACTGGAAGTTTCAGAAGTTGTTATCAGTGAGTGAGAGCAGGTTGCAGGGCCGTGCCTAGATACATAGCAACAGAGAAATCATTTCAAACAACACACAAAATACTAGACACGAGTGAAAGCAGAGGAGGAGTGGCTTTTGCCATGCTGGTTGCCAAACCCCAGCTCCTGTGCACCCATGAAAGGAATGTACACCAGGGGAGTGTCCATTCTAAATAAGCCAGCTCCTCATGTTGCCTGGAAGGTTGTGGCAAGAGAAGAGAGGGAGAATGTATCATCTCCATTTTATACTTGCTCCTGGAGCCATTAAATGGAAAATTTTGATTAAGATCTGAGGTAATGTCCGAATTTGAACAATGCCTCTTGACATTAGCATGCACCAGAACTCATCTGCACCATTTAACAATCTTCTAGCTAAAGGGCCTTTTTAATTGTTAATCGCTAATTAGTAGGAGAAGCAGTATGAGTGTATGCATAACTGAATTTGAGCACGTAGACAACTCTGTCAATGCCAGCTTGACCCAAAGAATTCCATGTGGGCAGCCTACGAGTGACTCCCAGAGGTGTCCATTAAATGTTGTCCACCTGCTGCTAGTTCTGTGCTTTCCTTAGTGAAGTCTGTCCTTGTAAGCGTGGTGTGTGATACCAGACATCTGTGTCCCTGCTTTGATGAGGGTGCCAGGAGGATTACATTGCACTGTCATTGCTGGTGTCTTGCCCAAGAACCTAGTCTGAGGTGATTGTTGATGTCTGCTGAGTCTGCTACTCAGGTTAACAAAGAAGAAAGAAGCGATATCTGAGTGACATCTGAAATTCCAGCTATCTAAGATTCCACACCTAGAGATTATTTGTTCTGATCTTGTAAAAATAAGAGGCTTATGTGGACTACTAGATTAAATATTAAGGGCCAGATCCTTCATTGCACTGCACTAGTATCAGTATTCTGACTACATGTTTGAATAATAAATTTCTTCTGACAGCATAGAAGCTGATATGCAACCTCTGACACTGGGCTCCCATGCTGTTTCTTATGTCACAAATGATGACAATTTCCAGAAACAGTGACTAGCAGCAGCGAGAGACTCTGCAATATTCACTTAATTGTGTTCCGCGTTTTCAGATATAATTTACAGTTTGAAAATGTTGAAAAATGAGTGTCCTGACATGAGCTCCCAGTATTCCGTAGCAAGGGAAACTACTGGGAACAGAAAAGTTTTTCTTTTAAGATTCAACAAAAACAGTCCCTTACTGTGTGACAGAAGCAAGCTGCACCTAACCTGCCAGTGATTCAGCATGTTTTTCTAAATTCAAACTGGGTTGCGGACTAAAGTTTGCAGTAGGGACTCAAACCCTGCAGGGAAACACCAGAGGCTCAAGATTTTCTCCCAGCATCCATCGTGGAGCCAGGTGGGGAGCCAAATGTGTAGCAAAACACTCTCTGTACTAAAATATCATAACAAATGGCTTCAGGGCACACAGAGAGAGGCCAATCCACAGTATTAATTAGCATGAAAGTAATTAGCAAAATATTGCTAAAAAATTGTAAGCGGCATGATTGAGAGCTGGATGAGTTTTTGAACTCAGCAATATGAAAACCCATGTGTAATAGCAGTGAATTTGATGCACGCTGTGAGGTTTCAGTGACTAGAAGACCAGTTTTGATTGGAAGAGATAAACATAGTATAAAATATAATTTGCTGTAGAAATTAAAGGCTCTGGACATGATGTGTTTTGTTGGTTTTTTTTTCCATCACTGATACCTTACTCTTTAATAGAATTAGTCAAGTTAATTACAGTAAGCATTTCCCTGAATTTGGCTATTTTTGTAGGCAGAAGATGTTTTGGAGTGGATCATTAATTTTTCAAATGCATTCATTATAAAAAGTTTTGGACAAGTATTCTGGACTAGGTGTTGGCACATGGATCATTCATGAATAGCCTGTTCTTAGATTTACTTCCTTTTGCTTTTGCTTCAATGGAATTAATAAAATCAACTAAAACATCTTATGAAGCTGCCATCATCAGCTGCTTTTCCCAAATGGACTTACTGGTTATTTTGAAAAATTTCTAAATGTCAAATGTCCTTTTTGTTATTTCTTTTACACTTATATTAGTATCATGTGTCATTTCAGTGTGATATTCTCTTGAGAAGGAGTTACTTGACTAAAAGTTTGTCCAAAGTGGAATGTGTTGCAATGAGTTTTTCAACATGTTAATTCAGTGTAAGTAGTTAATTAAACTCCTGTTACATCTGAGAAAATAATTCAACTTTTAACTTCTTCCTGAGAAATGCTTGGAAAGTTTTATTCTTTAAGGACCAGTGCTAAGTTTAGGTGACAGTTCTTGGCAAAATAAAACGTAACAGGATTTATTTTTTGTAGTTCTTTAATCTTCTGTGATGGCACATAATGGTGAATGGTTTCAGCCAAATTTCACACTAATTTTTTGAATCATAAACCAAAATATGGCACAGTGACTGTATTTAGGAGTAGTCATGTATATTCTTTTGGGCAATGGTAGAGGTGTTGTTTATCTAACGTTTAAT